TGAGAGGGGTTCCAATTGGCGGATAGCTCCTCTTCCCACCGTGTAAGCGTGGGTACATCTAGCTTTTTTGACACTATGTACAACAAAATTCCTTCACCTATTTGCTGGGTTGTGGCCAATGACAGCATTGCACGAAGATTTACGTTGCCTACATCGATGGAATTGCGAAGAACGGATATCGTCGAGGAAGATAATGGCTGTATGTCTCAAATCTGCTGCATCTGCGCTTGAAAAATTTAGGCGGCTATTATTGAACCGAGCGATGATGAGTTCTAAAGCGATCTTATAGTTTGCGGTGGTTACCTCGAGAGACTGAATCAATCGTGATGCCTTATCTGTCAGACACGAGCGTAGATATTGGAGTTTTTCTACGTCTGACAAGTCCTTGTGTTGTGGACTAGCGTTGAGAAAACGTTGAAAAAATCCAACCAATCACGTTGCTCCCCACTGAAGCGAGTCAATTGAAGTTTCGGCAGATTAATGCGACTTGATTGGTGACGTTCGCTTGAAATATGAGTTCTGCTGAATTACTGTGGCTTGTAATGTGGTCATACGGTCGGTAAGTGCTGCCATGCTACGACTGTTCAAATGCAGACCGATGGTCTACCTCTAGCTGCGACTCATCAAGCATCTCCAGTTGAGTTTGTAGTTCTTCAAGTGCGTTGTAGTGGCGCTCCACTAAGGCCAATTTCACTTCCAGCTGGCGAAGTGGCTGAGGGCCGACGATGCCAATGTGCCAAGATTGCAAACGTGCCAGCAAATTTGCACACTGCTTAATTTTAACGCGTACATTGTGAGCTGCTGCTTCAGCAACGGCACTACTGGCAAGCGATGAACCGGCTTCCGATGAGTTGTCCGACGAGGTCATTTGGAGGTAACGTACCGTGTCCCGATGAAACATAAAATGTACGACGGTTGATCTGAGCCTTATCAGGCTCGAAGGATCTTGGTGATTTTTAGAACCTTTTCTACGAAATTCAATGTCCAAAAACCCAGAAAATGAAACGCGCCAAAAATTTTATTTGCGTGGACTGTACACTTATTGAAATTTAGTTAAAGTTAATTTAGTGCTTATACAATTGCAGTAGCACGTCTGGTCGCAATGAAGGCCAAATTCAAAAGAATTTCCGCTGAAACACAATGCCGACGAACGGCGAATTTTTCGCTGCGAATGTTCGCTGTAAAAATTGAAACGCACTGTTGTATATGAGAACACACACAACCAAAGCAAACGACGACGTTCGTCCGACGACTGTTCGCAACGATAGACTTATTTCGATCGTCGTCGCTGGCGGCAGCGGCTAAAATACGATCCTTGTGGCCATATGCTAAATATTCTCAAGTGTTTAAATCGAAATTGAAAAATACTGCATTAGTTTTTGTTAAAAATTTATAATCTTATTATTTGTAAAAATTTTAATTGTACCTTGTGTTTCAACGGTTTAAGTAGCTGTTCCTTTGCATTTCTTACCTATGCCTATTTAAGTGTGTGTGTGGTTTTACACAGCGGTAGTTAAGCCGATATTGCTCTACGGCGCTCTGGTGTGGTGGACCGCTGCCAACAAAATCTCGTATAGAAAACCATTGGAGCGATTACAGCGGCTCGCGGCTTTTTTTGATGAAGAAATGTTCTAGATGAATTTCTGCATCAAAATTAAATATTAGAAAAAAATGTCGCTTAAATCTTTTTGGCGTTTAGGGCTCGTATGATGTATGTATATATCGTCGCTTGGCGTGCAATATATCGCATCCGCCAAATGCAATACAACGTATGAGGTGGCATAGAAAAAAAAATGTATTATCTTTACCGTGTCTCAAAGCTTCCCTACTTCAGAAATTAAATAGTGCATAATTATAGTAGGAGCTCATATTTAATATGTTTAGTTAGGAAACCATTCAAAAGTTTTGAAGGAAATAAGTTTCGTCGCACTTTTGTGAAATTTTCGGACTAACTTATACCTGGTATCGCATTTGGCGGATAGGAGGTATTGCGCGCCAAAATGAAACCGTAAACTACTACTGTTTTTCTTATACACAGTATACACTTCTGACAAAGTCAAAGGTACAAGAGATGAATCTGCTTTTGCTTTTGAGGACATTAATGCGGAAATACAGATTTATTTGAAAAAATCAGAAAACAAAAGTTGTGAGGAAATTTTAAAATTTGGGATATAGCTAATGATTTTCCACTCCTTGGAAGCTTTTAAAGGCAAATTTTACACGTACCAGCTAGCTCACTACCCTGCAAAAAATTCGACTAATCCGGGATGACTCCGGGAGTAATCGCAAAGAAACATGCGACTAATGCCACTTTTGATCTCTTTATATGAAACGAACTGTTTGCTTTCGTTCGAGCATGTCCTATGAAGAGACTAATTGTTCCCCTTTATACCCGAACAGGTATAAAAAGCGACTAGTCAATTTAAAAAAATAAAAAATAAAAATTTGCGCCATCTGCGATTCGAACCGGGGTTCACAGTTTTGTTAAGCGACTACTCTGTGCCAATGTCGCATATAAAATTTCATTGAGTAGGTGCGTACATATCATTAAATCGTTTAAAGTACCCGTTAGAGAAAAGTCGGGAACTAATTGGTCTCCAATTATACCCGTAAGGGATGAGTCGAGCCTAATTGATCTCCACTAATACCCGTATGAGACTAGTTGCGACTAATTAATGCCCAATTGTGCCCGATTAAGAATAATCTGGGAATACTCTCTTTAGAGATTAGTCTCACAATTTCTTGCAGGGTAGTGAAAGAATTTTTTCTGTGTCAGGCAGAATTCTAGAGGAAATACGTACACGACAACTTGGTGAAAACCTCGACAAAATCACAATATACACTAATCCAGATAGACAAAACAAGAAATGTAAATATGCTTATTTGACAATTTGTTTGAATGTATTGGTTGATAGTTTTTCACAGTTGTCGTTTTCGTTAACCCAAATGAAATCCAATTTTAATATTTTTTTATAAGCTGCATTTCTTTATTCATTTTGAACATTTGGAATAAACTTTCTTGATTACTTATTCTTTAGAAAGTTCCTGATGATATGTTAACGTATATTTCAAACGCATTCTGAAAAACAAAATTCCAAGCACATCAGGCATGAAGCGTAAGCGATTATGACAGGATGCAGTTCCTACAAAAGTCATACCGTGTTCCGACCATAACTTTGGGTAAATAATGGTGGGCTGACTTTGGAAAATGGTTCCATCGATTAGAGGGTTAAACAAGTATTATTTAGCCTTAAAGCTCAAATATACCACTCTTACAGTCCATACCTCCATAGCTTTTATGAAATATGTACACAAAATTATATCTCGACGCTCAAAGAAATGCACGAAATTTGTATGTATTTGTTCAGCCGCTTATTCACATTTGAAAGAGGATAATGCATGATTTAATGCAAATAAAGACGTTTTATGCAGATAATCAAGCCCGTTTGTCAACCGTTTGCTGTATAAACAAACATTTGTGGGTACTTTTACACCAGTCGTTGCCTATGGGTTAATGACAAAAAATCCTATACATGCACAATATTTCATGTAATAATTTTCAAATAAGCATATTGTCAATGGCTGGTTTACTGTATATTGTGCGTGAACCCATCCGTCACAAAAAAATTGATAGACATAGCACTTGTTATTGACGGTAAGTATCACAAAATAATGATGGGCNCAAAATATTATTTTTAAACAAAAATATGAGCTAATTTCATTTTAAAATTACAGTGAATGAATATTGATGTGAATGCTTTTTTATACTCATAACAGATACATATGTACATATGTATGGGCGGATGGCGCAGAAGCATGCGACCTGCCAGCGGAACGTATAACATCTACACTGATGGATCAAAAATGGTTGATGGAGTGGACGCCGGTGTCTATTGCGCTGAGCTAGACCTCAGGCAACCCTTCAAGCTTCCAGAGTACTGCAGTATTTCCCAGGCGGAAGTCTTCGCTATAGGAAAAGCTGCTGAGATAGCTAGCAACGCAGGAAACTATATAAAAAATATCAATATATATGTCGATAGCCAGGCGGCAATTAAGGCTATAATCTCACATCGTATTGCGTCAGAAAATGTCCCTAGAAGCAGGAAAGTAGAAGACAGGGCGGCTTAGGGTAAACGGCTGCATATGTACTGGGTTCCAGGCCACGACGGCATTATTGGCAACGAAATAACTGATGAGATTGTCGAAAGTGCCATTCGTCTTGCTAGCGAACCAGTACAGGAAATACAAAAGTCGCTAAAAACGACCTATAATGAAATTTCCGAAAGAGCTGGGTGCTGGATCAGGGTGAGATGGAACGCATTAGCGACATGCAAAACCACGAATATTATGTGCAACAGCAGGAAAGGAAACACCCATTTCTTGCTTACACGGTCACGTAGGGATTGCAGGACCTAGTGACGGGCCACAACCTACTGGCATCCAATGCAAGCAGAATGGGCATTAGTAGCAGTGACACATGTAGGAAGTGCAGGGAGGAAGGCATGAGTGAGACGTTAGAAAACTTCCTCTGTTTCTGTCCGGCCTTAGCTAGAACTCGTGTTAGATATCTCGGAGCTTCGCAGTTCAAAGGACTAGAGGAGGCTTCAAAACTGGATATTAAGGCTCTCTTGAACTTCGCGAAAAGCGCTGACGTCCTATACGACGACTACTTTAGGACACAGTAAAACGGACCTCCATCTGGCACTACAATGGACCAACGGGTCTATGTAAGGCGCATCAGCCCGCCAGTGTAACCTAACCCAGCCTATATTTTACTTTAATCTTAAAAAGTTATATTTTACTTTAATCTTAAAGAGGTCATATTTTGCTTTAATCTTAAAAAGTTGTTTTATTTTAATCCTAAAAAGTTATGTTTTACTTTAATCTTAAAAAGTTAATTCTAATTTTACTCTAGTCTTAAAGAGTTAATGCTGATTTTCGGATTAATAGTAAAAAATTAACACTAATTTTTCCTTAGATCTTAAAAACTATAAATGTGATTCCATATTTTGCTATTAATAGATAAATATTTTTAAAAAGTTACCCGGTTAAAAATATAGAAAAAAATACAAAATATCCCGACGAAGCGATAACCTCCTTCTTGTTTTGAAGTCGGTTAACAAAAATCCAAATCGTTTCCAGTCTATAGTACTTACAAACAAAACAGAAAATGCGTTAGTAAAACTCCAGTCCCCTCTTACTTGAACGTATTGGACGAACGATGCCAATGAAAATGCTTTGCCGCACTTGGGTTGGAACACAACACACACAAGCGATGGAAAACCTGCAATTAAAAGTGCATTTAGAGATTTTTTCCAAAAACTCAAAAGTGCATCCACAAAAGCCCCATCTTACCTGAACGTGTTGAACGAACGATGCCTATAAAAACGCTATGCCGCATTTGGGCCGGAACACAACATACACAGCGATAAAAAATCGCAATAAAAGCGCATTTCGAGTTTTTTTCCAAAAACTCAAAAGTGCATCCACAAAGCCCCAACTTACTTGAACGTGTGGAACGAACGATGCCAAAGAAAACGCTATGCCGCACTTGTGCTGGAACCCAATACAAACAAGCGATGGAAAGCCTGCAATTAAAACTACATTTAGAAATTTTTTCCACAAACTCAAAAGTGCATCCACAAAAGCCCCAACTTACTTGAACTTGTTGCACAAACGATGCCAATGAAAACGCTATGCCGCACTTGGGCTGGAACACAACACGCACAAGCGGTGGAAAACCTGAAATTGGATGGATTACACAGGGCAACACTGAGTTTGTTTCCTAAAATTTAAAAGCTGTTTTTGATCAATTTTTTGTGCTGATTGCGAATCTGTAAGTATAAAGTTTCCATCAATATTTCATTCCATACTTAAGATGCTATAGCAAGCAAACAAAAGGTGATAGAACCTTCCACTTGGACTTAAATTAAAGCTAGAATTTTCGGCTAATATCCCTAAAAATACCATCCATTCACCTTGACTCGATGGGCACTTATAGTCATTTATTGAACAATAACAAAATACTGGAGTATTGTACTATTGGAAAAAAGAAAATTGTGCCAAAATCCGTTGTTGCTGTTCAATAAATGACTATAAGTGGCCTTAGGGTCAAGGTCCAGGAATGGTATTTCGGAGATTGTAGTTGAAAGTTCAAGCCTTAATTTAATCCTAAGTCGAAGACTCCACCACCTTTTGTTTAATTGCGGTAGGTATTCAAGCTTCGCCAAAATCAGTTTTTGCTATTCAACAAATGACTATAAGTGACCATCAAAGTCAAAGTGCACGATTGGTATTCCCAGGGATAGTTGTCGAGAGTTCTAGCTTTAATTTAAGCGCAAGTGGAAGGTTTTATCGCATTTAATTTTTTTACTAGAGCTTCTCAAATATTGCAAAAACGCGATTTTTTGAAACGTAGACCACGTTTTTCTCAAAATCTAAAGCTGATGGAAACTTTTACTTAGAGATTCGTAATCAGCACAAAAAAGTCTATGAAAAACAACTTTAACATTTTAGGAAACAAAATTGTTTCCCATTTTTATTGGCCTGTGTTATTCATAGTCTTATTATATGAAATAATTTAAGGTTTTCCTAACTTACTTGAACGTGTCCGTAATATATTCGATCACAGGAAAACAGCACATAAATCGCTATGGGTGAAAGAAATACGCAAACCACTACACCATTTCCAGTTGTAAATGAGAAAGCGTCAAATGAAATTGCGAAAGCGTCATTTGGAAATGAGAATAGTCAATTGTAAATGCGATATCGTCATTTGAAATTGAGAATAGTCAATTGTAAATGAGAAAAGGTCNGAAACCTAATAAATATAAAATTATAACTTGATTGGGAATTAATTTGACTTGATTTACCCAAAATGACGCAATTAGAATACAAATTTTCCGCGAATAGGAATAAAGCAAAGCAAAGAAAATTAACAGTGTTGCCTACTTTACGTTTAGTTAACTTTTTCTTTTATTCAAAGATTTCTAACAATATCGCAATAAGTCGAAAAATTTGATTTCGAGAAAAAACATTTTAAACATTTGGATTGTAATGTTAACTTTATGGGGAAGCCAAAATATGTGCCTTCCACATCAACATCATTTAGAGGGGAGTAGTGTGGGAACACTGCTGATTCATCTATCAGCACTTGCGTTTTTATGGGACATTTACTATTCCCTTTGTACATACATTCGTAAGTTTTTCCCCTTTTCGGTTACAAGTTTGGACTTATAAATTTACCACGCTGGAGAACAGAAACTTCTCGACTTTTGTACGTGCCTTATATATATATATATCTTTTCTTGTTAAATTAATTACGACTAATTCTAAGTGTTTAAATTAATAAAATATATTCTTTGCGTTCTAAGAAACTCATTTGTATATTATTATTCCCCACAAGATGTTTGTAAAGGTACTTTTAAACAAATATTAAGTTAAAATATATTTAACCCTTTCGAGGGCGCGCCGCGGCAAATTAGCCGCTAAAATTTTAATTTTAAAATTTTAAATTTCAAATACTACTTGTAGTAGCCGGCGACTGCCACTTAGTGACTTTGTAGGTTTTGAGATGCAGAATGGTTCACAGTTAGCTGTTGCTGCGTTATATGGTTCAGTTGATATTAATATTTGAAAGTTGGTGTCTCATATATGCGGCTGAATTGCCGCGTCGCGCCCCTCCGTGTAAATAATTTTAATGTAACTCGCAAAATTTTTTTTAAGATAGTTGGAAAAGTGAGTTTGTGATAAGCGCCTAATTCAATATTAGTATTTCGTTAGTATTTTTTCATGTTTAATTTTAAAATTATACTTTACGTACACATTGTAGCTATTATGATATTAATTTTCTTAGGTTTTAGAGAAAAAAGGATGTTTTTAAATGACGTATTTTAGAACGAATCTCCGTCGTCCTTGTCAAATTTGGTTTGGAAACAAACCGGTTTCGGCGTTGTTCCATCGTCAGTGTAATTTTTCGTTCTCTTGGAAACAACAATAACAAAAAAGTAGATGTTTTTAAACTTACTAGTGTTCGCCCAGCGGTTGAAATTCAACCGCTAAAATTAAGGATAGTTTATGTGAGTTGAGTTGAGCTGAAATAACATTAGTTGGAATGGGTTAAGTGGAGGGGAGTTTAGCTTAGTACTTAGCATAACATAATATACCATAACATAAGATTAAAAAACATAACATATGTATAATGTAACATCGCACATTCTTCAGCTGTATTTTCTTTTTATCCCTATCATTTTCTTCCTCTCTATCTTTGTCCCGCTTTAATGTTTATGTTTATCTTCACCTTCATGTTCATGTTCAAGTTCATGTTCATGTTCATGTTCCAGATCATGTTCATGTTCATGTTAATGATGACGTTAATGTTAATGTTAATGTTAATGTTCATCTTCATCTTCATCTTCATCTTCATCTTCATCTTCATCTTCATCTTCATCTTCATCTTCATCTTCATCTTCATCTTCATCTTCATCTTCATC